TTTCCCACAGTCACTCAGCAGGCCAGAAGCCTAGAACCCATGTCTGCTGAGTCCATAGGGCTCTAGCTAGTCCTTTCCCCAAGGACCTTGCAGGTTAAATAGACAAGACAGGCAAAAGGGGCAGGAGGCAGAGTGATCAACATATTAGTGCCACCATTTGGGGCAAAGTTGGAGGGTTTGGGGGGATTTTTGTTTGTTTGCTTTTGTTTTTTAACTTCTATGGGTGGAGGTTAGCTCGGAGGAGATTAGCTGAAGACAAGGGAAAGGAGCGGGGGGGGGGAGAGAGAGTGAGGGGGTAGGGCGAGGGGAGCAGAGAGGGCACTCAGCACAGGGGAGAGGGACAGCAATGGAGTATTTGTGGCTGCCAGGGTCGGTCAGCTTGCTGGACTGGGGCTTTGGTGCAATGCATTGTCCATGGTACTCAATAGCTCAAGGCAGAATGACCTGCCCTCCTCCCATCAGCCTGCGTTGCCCAGCAGGCCTGGAGGCTTTGATTGAGACACCTGAACTCATTAGAGCCCATATGACTGACAAGAGATTAGGCCAACCTGCGGTTCAGGGGAGAGGTGAAAGAGCTGTGGTGGAGGTAAGACTTTAGATAAAACCAGTTACTGGGGGTGGGTGTATATCTGCTGGTGGACCTGGAGCAGAGAGGAGGACAGAATTGTGGTAGGAGTTAGTGGTGAGTGGAGCTTTTGTAAGTCTGTCAGGAGGTGGGTAGGATTAAAGCAGGAAACTCTAGTTCCTCCATGTTATTTGTCTTTTTATTCTTGCAGTGTGTGGTGAGGCTAGCAGCTCTTTAGCATGCTGGTGTTTTGTGGCTTGTTCCCTGTGCTTGGCTTTGTTCTGAGAAATAGCTCTTCTGAAGGTCATTGTTAATTCTTGCCTCTTCTCTAAAAACTGTAGAGGGACAACATCAGTTCAACTTGGTGCAAATATTGTGGGGGTGTGTGTGTGTGTGTGTGTGTGTTTTCAAATCAAGCTCTCTATAGAGCCAGATGCTTGGTGAAATGTCTTTACAAACTGTTCTTGAAATGTTCCAATGCAAACAGTCCTCTTTAAATTAAACCTTTCCTGCAGTGTTTCACACCCTGGTGTTACAGCACTAAGAAATTGGTTACTTATGGACTCTATTACTTAAATGGAGAGAAATGCAGATGGTGACCAAAAGTAATGCTAGTGAAGGAGTTGTTAAGCTCTCTGCCAACAGCCTGTGACAGTGGCTCACAAAACAACTCTGCCTGAAGTTGTCATCCTTTAAAATATAAAAGCTTGGATAGTTTTTTTCTTTTGGATTGTGATTCTCTGTGTCTGGGAGCTGGTGTAAGTGGAGGTTCCTTTGACTAACTTCTCCTTTCCAGGTAGTTTCTAGCTCTTGTCAAAACTTGTGGTGCTGTCAGTCACCAAGACCTGGGAGTTATGCCAGGTAATGGCTGTAATTAAGAGTAACTCTTTTGATATAAAACTAGCTTTTGGCATGGTAGGCTTAAGCATGGTGTGTTAAATACCCTAGCTAGAAGAGTTAATTGTACCTCATTATCATGATATCTGAGTACCCCAATCTTCACTGCCAGCACTCTTGTGAGGTAGGGCAGAGGTGAAGGCTCACTCCTCAAAGGCCCTGAGGCGTTGACATCCTTTTAGGCACCTAGAAAATCACAGGAACAACACTGTGATCCACCAGTCCTGAATTAGGCACCTTGGCTCTAATACAGTCTCTGGGGAGAGAGAGATGCCTTGGACTGTGAGCCACCAAAGCAGCATGCTAGGTGGGGCACAGGCTGCCTAAGGTAGGCACTGGGAGGTGCTGATGAGGGATCTGTCCTAAATTCTGCCCCTCTCCTGGAGCTAATCTGCTCTGTAGGGAGGCATCTGAGGCAACTCGCTCTGCATAGGGAATGGGAACTCACCCTTTGGGCTTAGGCACCTCCAGCATTTCCTGTGGGACTAAATTAGGAGCCTGCCTTGCCCCACACAAAACAGCAGCAGGAGGTGGTGGCGGTGCTCCCTTATAAAGCTTATTCCAGTGCCCAGAGCACTCACCTGGGGTGTGGGAGACCCAGGTTCAATTCTTCCCCTACAGTGGGCATTCTTGCCCTGTGTAGACAAGCCCCTAAATATACCTCCACAGGACTGTGTGTTAGCTGACGCATGATCAATCCACTGTGATCAAGAAACAAGTCAAAACAGGATGCCCTGTGGCACCAGTGTAAATACACTGCACCTTCTTCCCCTGGGGTGCACGAGTGAGCTGGCAATGCACCCTTTGTAGTGCTCATGGTTAATGGAACATGGCTTGAGTTAAAATTTGTCTCCACCAACAACTCCTCCTGACACAGCTTGCCTAGCTGCTCTCTGCTGCCAAACTGGCTGTCATGTGATGGCCAAGCAACTTAAAGCTGTTTCTCCTTTTATTTGTGACATCCCCACCTGCCTGCTGCTCCTCTTGTGCTTGCTGGATGTGTAGTATTGGAATGGCTCCTAATGAATCTCTCTAGATGAACCTTGATGTAAGCTGCCTGCTGCTTAGTTCTAACAAGCCTGCTAGATGGGGGTGTGAGGGCTAATAGTGGCATTTCTTCAGGTCTGGCTCTAGTTTTCCCCTTACACAGCTACTGTATTTATCAGTGGAGCTGGTAAAACAAATTTTAAAATAGCATAAATTAAAATGCTCCTCTTTCCAGCCGGAGGATTGATACTCAAATAGGCACAAACTTTGCAAAATTTTTCATTTATGGCTTCCAGGGAGGTGAAGTAGAGAGATGACTGGTGCTATGCATCCATCTCTTAACCGATGGAGCTTTGTACCTGATCTTCCTTAGACCCCAAACTCCCAAGATTTCAATGGCAGTTAGATTCCTAAATATCTCTTGAGGATCTGGGGCCATGACACCAGAGATGAACTCAAGCCATAGAACTCTGATGCTGGTCTCTAAGGAAATGTCTAGGCTTCAAGCTGGGGGTGCAGTTCCCAGCTCAAGACGGCTACATGACTTTGAGCAGCTTGCTACCACCTGCCCTTAGTCTGGGACTTGGGTCTGCTCCCTGGCTCCACAGGCAACACAAGCACACCCCTCTAGGCCTATGCAGGCTGCACTGTTACTCTACAGGTTAGTGATGGGCACACCCCAACCTCTGAGTGTCTGGTACCTGGCATAGACCCCAGTGGACACTTGTGGCATACACAGATTCACTGCTTCCAAAGAAACCGTTCATTGCAGCTTATCATTGCCACCTCAGATCACTACTCCACTTAACACGCAGCACTGAGATATGCTTGTAGTGAAATCAAGTATGTTTATTTAGCAAAGCAAGTAGAAGTATTAGAAACAAATGGTTACATATCACACAATCCTAAAGTATTCTAGAGCAATTTAGTTGGTTACTTAATAATACTCTGGGTAGAGTATCACTCACCCAAAAGCCTTACCATGCTTTACAGACGGGCTCGCTGGGACCCTCCTTTCATGAGACAGACATGCTGTCTGTTTGCCTCCCAGGTATAGGATTCAGTGTGTCTTTTTGCACTCCAGGATATACCAGACCAATCCTTCCTCTTCATTCATAAACAGGACACACCCACCCCTGCTGTTTATTTCTTCTTGTAGATACCATCTCATGGGCTCTGCACTCAATTCACCCCAGCTCTGTATACAGACACCCTCACAGTGTGAAGTGTAAAATACACAAATAGCCAGACATGGAGATAGGTGTCTATTATCCCCTGCCTGGAAGAGATTTCTCCAAGGTATGTCCCCTCTGGTGACTTGCTTTAACTCCAAGACCTTAAGAACACTATTTGCAGAATAGTTTTACAACTCTTAGCTATTATCCAAAAATACATTTTGCAATGATTGACAACCAGCAGGCTGCTGGCTCTTGATAGAAACCTCCCATGTCACCCTTTGGTGAATGACTATGCAGATATCTGGTCCAGGGATCCCTGTAAAACAGGATGCACCCCCCTCTGCCAACTGGTACTAAGGGATCCCTGAGTGACAGGCATATCCATGTTATCTCTGATCAAGCCAGTGCACTAAAAACTGAGTGTTGGTGTGGCAGCATGAGCAGCACAAGGGGCTAGCCATGTAGAGTGTGGCTATCTAATATCTCTGCTGGATAAGTACTTATGGTGGCTAGCCCCTGCTGCAGTGGCTCGATGTTATTTTTAGCACATTAGCTCGAGTAGCATGACTCAAGTATGGCAGCTTGAGCTGGGAATTATGCGCTAAGTATAGACATACCCTGACATTCTAAAGTCGTGTGTGTTTCAGCTCTGAATAGCACCTCACTTTGCTGGTCTGTAAATGCAGACTTGGTCTGCTAGTTGCTTGTCACTTGACGTGGTACTCCTTGATTTCAAACTCTTAGCACGCTATTTTAATAGTAAGTACAATGGTAGGACTCCGCTCTTTGCCTAAAATGCATGAATAAGATCTGACCTGGCACAGAAATGGTTCTGCCAGGTCTAAGCAGAAGCTGGAGGAGGATGGGAGGGGAACTCTAATTCTGTAGCTGACTTTTGTCACTGACTGTCTCCGTCCATTTCTAGACCATTCATACAAGGTAGCCTAGGTCCAACACTCAATCTGTCCAGGGCTGAATGTGGGAGGCCTGACATGAAGGATAGATGAGCAACTATTCACTCAGAAAACATAAAAGGCAATTGGATTTTTGCCTCTAGGGTGAATTTTTTTTTTTTTTTTGGCTGTCTTAGCATCATGAGCATCTGACATAGTTTGCATAAGTGAAAGGGCACCAAATTTTGATAGAATGCATGGGACTCTGGGACTGAAATGAGCAACACCGGAGAGTAACGAACAGAACATGCCTTGGAAACCTCATCTGCCTATGAGTAAATGACTATGTTGCTTTATAACTATAGTGAGTCTGTCTGGCAGAACAGGAGTGAAGCCATTCATGGGCTGTGATGGGCAGATCTCTTCCTGGTCTCCTCAAATGATCTCTTCCAATGACATGACTCTGTTCTCTCATTTCAGTTTTGAGTCTCATATCTTCAACACACAAGGCCGTGGTGCCCCTTGACACCAGAAGACCATCGGGATCCCCCGTAGCAGCAATGGACGTCTTCTTGATGATCCGTCGCCACAAAATGACCATCTTTGCTGATGCCAAGGAGACGACCACCGTGCAGGAGCTGAAGAAGATTGTGGAGGGCATCCTGAAGAGGCCTCCGGAGGAGCAGCAGCTATACAAGGATGACTGGTTGCTGGAGGATGGTGACAGGACCTTGATAGAATGTGGGTTAAGCAGTCAGACCTCCCGTCCCCAGGCGCCAGCCATGGTGGGCTTGGCCTTATTCAGAGCCAGCGAGGGCTCCTTTGAGCCATTGCACATCGACCCCTTCTCCAGCACCCCTGAGCTGCCTGATGTCTTGAAGCCTCAAGATTCTGGTAGCAGCTCTGGCGAGCAGCCTATGCAGTGAAACCAGGGTCCACTGCTCTATCACATAGATGTAGTGCTGATCATGCACCAGTCACAGCTGTGTGCTCATTTCACTTGCAGCACTTGAAAACACTATGACTTGACTAATAAAGCTTTGCTGTTTATCTTTGCTGGGGTGCCAACATCTTCTTTTTCAGTCTCTAGAGAGCTAATTGACAATGATTGTTTGCTGGCTTCCTTGCGTCTTAACTTTTGTGCAGAGGTGGTGGGGTGTGACAGTCTATGCAGCAAACTCTCAAACCTCCTTGTCCAGCCCAATGTCCGTAGACTTAACCTCAACATTTACTTCTTCCAAGAACAGTGACATGAACAAACTACAGGCAACCGGCGTGGCCAGCTTTCCTATGGAGTCTTGTTATATCTGGTGTCTTTTCCTAAAGCCCCAACTTCTGGAATCATGTGACTACATCAGACTCTTGGCTTGCATTGTTTGTCTTCTAGACTTCAAATTGTGGAAAGAAGCCTGGAAAAAAGGTTAACCCAGATGGCTGAAATAGTAGGCAAACTGCCACCAAACCTCATGATTGGCTTGAAAATAATCTCCTGACATTCTGGAAGCTGTCTCAGGACTCGTGGAACATCCAGGTGGCAATATTGTGCCAGTACAATGTATGTGGCAACAAATAACTCATCACTCTAAAGGTCAGCTCCTAATTGAGAGGGAACTGTTTGACAGAATTATTCAACAATTGAAGAGGGAGCAGCCAGCATGTTAATTAACAGGGGATGTTAAACTAAGAGGATAGGAAAAACAATCCACATGCACTCACCCACCACAGAGATGAGCCTCTGACAGAAGTGCAGCTATTCTAGCTTGGTGTTGATCTTGGGGGAACAAGAAAATACTGGCATTAAATGAGAGAGCTAGAGATGACAGATGTAATGTGGCAGCAGAAGGGTCAGTATCAGGGCCGCTCAGTGGGGGGAGGAGGGGAAGCAAGTGGGGGCAATTTGCCCCAGGCCCCGCAGGGGCCCCCACGAGAATATAGTATTCTATAGTATTGCAAC